CATCATGTTGTACACAATAAATATATATAATTTTTATTTGTCAATTAAAATAAATAGGGAATTGCTGCTCCCAGAAATACATACAAGGTCAACCATTAAAACCTGAGCTGTAGGGCCGGCCCAGTGGCGCGCTGCTACAGTGCGCCGCTTGGGAAGCAGGGCAGCGCTCCCGCCGAGGGTTCGGATCCCACATACAGACCGGTTCCCGCTCACTGGCTGAGCGAGGTGCGGGGGCAGCGCCGAGGGTTGCGATCCCGTTGCTGGTCCCGGTCCGGTGTGGGCGCGACATTGAGGGTTGTGATCCGTTGCCGGACACGAAAAAAGACAAAAAAAAAAAAAAAAAAAAAAAACCTGAGCTGTACAAAAAGCCTCCCCCCAGGGAATCAGCAGCAATGAAGCAATTTAGCTCAACTACAGGGCTCAAGTGCTGCTCCCCACAGGAAGTTCCTCCATTTTACAAGTAAGCAAAGAACAAATTAGTTCCAGTGCAGAGTTTAAGTGGTGGGAACAGTGAATAATCCAACACAGAACTGAGAGAAAAAACAAAATACCCACAGATCAGAGACAAAGTTTGATATTAACTAGTAAATCTCTAACACCACCAAAGAACACCTACAAATCTAGAAGAACCAGAAGCTCCCTGGGCTCCCAAGCCAGGGATGGGGGAGGGCTGAGGGCCTCTGCCACACATCCCCCACATCCACAACCAGCCCAGTGACAATCACTGAGCCACCACAGGAAGCTCCCCAGGCTCCCAAGCCAAGGTGGTGGGGGCATGCGGGCCTCAGCTACACCTCCCAAACATCCACAACTGCCTATCAACAACCACTGAGCCACCACAGGATAGCCCTAGGCTTCCAAGCCAGGGCAATGGGGAGCCAAAGGCCTCAGACACATTCCCCCAACATCCACAAGCAACCCAGCGACAATCACCAAGCCATCGCAGGAAGTGCCCCAGGATCCCGAGCCAGGGCAGTGGGGGGCCAAGGGCTTTGGTTACACTCCCCCGACATCTGCACATCTTCATCCAGCCAAGCAATGACTGAGCCACTGCTGGAAGCCCCCAGGTCTCCCCAGCCGGAATAAGGGGGTGCCATACGCCTTGATCACACTCCCCCTCCTACCTCCTCTTCTCACCCTATTCCCCTCTCCCTTTCTTTCTTCCCCTCCCCCCACAATTGCTCTGCAACAACATCTTAGACTGAGGCACGGAACCAGGGAAAGCCAAACCCAGCCACAACTAGGCAAGCTGCCACCATTGCCCCAGGGCCCCGCTGAGGTCCTGAGGCATGGATCCAGGGTAAGCTGAACCCAGCTGCAACTAGGCAAGCTGCTGCCACTGCCCTGGCTCCTGCCACGGTCCTGAAGCATGGAGCCAGTGGAAGCTAAACCCAGCCACAACCAGATACACAGCACACCAAAAACACCATTTCTACACGGGTAGCCCACCACAGCCAGTGCAATTGCCATCACTGCCACAAAAGCAGCTATTCTCTATAGCAGCGGTCACAGCCACTGTGCAGATGTCACACCAGACTCTCAACTGTGTTGACACAAGGACAGGCACCAGAGGAGACCAAAAAAAAAGAAGAGGTCCTCTCTCTCTCCACAAAGCACACTCCAGAGTAACAGAAGCAGCATTTAATTTATGATAATAGGAGAGGACTTGATCACACCTGTCTCAGTACTGGACAGATCATTTAGGCAGCAAGCCAACAGGAGAACAGTTAATCTATCAGAGGGAAAGACTAAATCTATGGTTATTAGTGGGGAGGGAAAGGAAAATAGGGGGAGGAAGAAGGGGAAGGGGGAAGATTTGATAAGGGGCATAAAGAATAAGTATGATTTATAACAATGAATATGCTAATAACAAATAAAATAAATAAATACAGAGGGATTCTGCAAATAACTCAAACTTAAAAATAAATAACTAAATAAAATATAGCTAAGTATGGATATTTAAATTTAATCTACTGGGGAGGACACCAGCAGAGGGAGCTTGGGAGATGGCCACCTAGTTTTCCTTGCATATTTTCTAGCAATTAAATTTTTCCTGATGATGACAAAATAATGAATGACTAATGTTGTCAAAAACATCAAGTATAATATCAGGTTGCTCCTAAGACTTATGGTTAAAATATAAAATGCACAAACATAGAAACTCTTGTTCCAGCACCTAGTTGGTAACAAATAATTGCTTACACTACCTGAGGCATCTTAACTGAAGGCACAGAACTTATAATAAATTATCATATAACATATAAGTGCTGAACTCCTGCCCAATAATATCAAATGAAGTATAAAATCTATTTATAAAACCATGATATTTTACCACAGATTTGGTGAAGTCAAAATCTCCAACAATTCCTTGTTCACGGTTTAAAGCAAATACATTGTTCTGATGAAGTGATCCATGAATTATGCCAGCCTTGTGCAATGTATGCAGACCCTGGGCAACACCTTTCATGACCTTTAAAGCCTCCTATAGATAAGTACAGACAAAAGAAGTCAGAAAGTAGGCAGATCATTTTAATAAATGAATCTTTTCTCTAATTAAAAGACTCTTCCAGAAGTGAGCAAAGCTTCCTCCAAATGAACTTTTAACAACACAGAGAAAGAATTAAAGTCTAGATAAAGCCTTTATTATGTAACTGGTGGCTATATATACAAGAATACTTCAAAAAGTTTGTGGAAAGATTTGTATTATCTTTCTATTCTATTTTTCCATGAACTTTTTGAAGTACCCATATATATATATATATATATTTATATATATATATATATGCAAAACCTCCATGTCCACAGGTTCTGCATCATGGATTCAATGAACTAGAGACTGAAAATATTCAGAAAAAAAACCGCATCTGTACTAAACATGTACAGAATTTTCTTCTTGTCATCATTCCCTAAACAAAACAGTATAACAACTATATACATAGCATTTACATTTAATTAGGTATTATAAGTAACCTAGAGATGATTTAAAGTATACAGGAGGATGTACATAGGCTTATATGCAAATGCTATGCCATTTTGTACCAGGGATTTGAGCATTCACAGATTCTGTTGTCCACAGAAGGTCCTAGAACCAATCCCCCACAGATATCAAGAGATGCCTGTATATATATATATATACAGTCATGTATATATTCTACAGTTTCTAAGAAGACTTAGATTACAAATAACAACAACGTAAAGCATCTAAAAAAGAAGATACTGAAATAGTGTAATAGGTAGAAAGAATTAGGGCCTCCTTTATTGTTATTACTAATTCTAAGTTTACAATGATAAAAATTAAAGCTGCCCCTTAAGCATTTATAATACCAAGTGTTGGTCTAGGCAATTTACATACAACACAGCTTAATAGTTATGAGATTGAAATTTGGAATCAGAAAGACCTAATTTCAAGTCCCAACTCTACCTCTGAATGAAGAACTCTGTACAAGTCACTTAATCCCTCTAAGCCTGATTTTTCTCATCTGTATAATAAGATAACTCATATCACAGGGTTGATGTGACAAATAGAATAACACAAGTCAAAATTTTACACAGTACATAGCGTGGAGTATGCCCTTAGTAAATATTAGATGTTATTTTCTCCTTTAATATATCCATGGAGGGCTGGCCCAGTGGCACACTCGGTAGAGTGCGGTGCTTGGGAGCGCGGCAGCGCTCCCGCCAAGGGTTCAGATCCCATATAGAGACCGGTCCGCTCACTGATGGAGCACGGTGCGGGCGCGACACCGAGGGTTGCGATCCCGTTACCGGTCATGAAAAAAGACAAAAAGGAAAAAAAAAAAATATATATATATATATATATATCCATGGAAACGTTTTTTTACTTACTTCTGAAGTTAAAGGCATATAGGCTTGAATAGCACTCAGACTTGCCCTCGGATAGTATGGGACCATCAGATAAACGATAGGATCAGACTAAGAAGCAAAACAGAGAATGTGACTCAAAGTGAAAAACTATTCAACATATTTTTAGTATACACTGATTCTACAAGATAATTTTTGCTTTATGTTAAAGGAATGAATTACTACTCTAAAACTTGGGGCTAAAACTTACTTTAAATGAAATGTTTTTTGCAATAGCCTTTACCTTACACAAAAACAGGAATATCAATGGTAGTAACCCAGACTCTTCTTTAGCTTCTCTCCAAGTTCTGTGATAGGTGGCTGCTCTCTGAATCACCCTGGCTTCTGTGTCAATATCCACAGAATAGCCCTTGTACCAAAAAAAGAGACACTAGTAATTCCAGAATTAAAATTCCCCCTCTAAATATACACCATTCTAAATTAAACATAATAAATGAATTTTATATGTTAAATTACATCTAATTTTTTTTTTCCTGACCGGTAAGGGGATAGCAACCCTCGGCACAGTGTGGTCACCGGCCAATCCCTATCTGAACCCGTGGCCTCGGCATCACCAGCACCACACTCTCCCCAGTGAGCCACGGGGCCGGCCCTAATTTTATTTTTTAAAAGTACCTTTTCTATCTGCTTTGAATGCTATAATTTGAAAAGGAGAGAACAATTCTACCTGTAGCTTTCTATACATTCTAGGATTCATAGCCACTAAGGCCAAATTAATTATCCTATTATCATAATTAAAGTTTCCCAGATCAATGAAGAGAAGAAATAAAGGAGTAAAATACCATTTTGGCAACCTGGGATTTCAAAGAGAAATGTAAGAAAAGTAAGATTTTTTTTTTTTGCGACTGGTAAGGGGATCACAACCCTCGGCACAGTGTCGTCCGCACAACGCTCAGCCAGTGAGTGCACTGGCCATCCCGAATTAGCCAAGGGGCCGGCCCAAGAATAGTAAGATTTGGACAGAATATAAGTTCACCCAAAAATAGAAAGCAAGTATATCCTATTAAAGACATATATTATTTAGAGAAATGAGGCAAACTTTAAAGTCAAAATTAGTTCTGGCATCCAAACTGGAAATACAATCATCATGCCAGTCAACTAAATATTTCAGAAAACAGTAGGTTTTATTCTTTCCTGAAAAGTAACATCACTACTCCCCTTGATTCTTCTTAAACTCCCACAAATCAGAAGAACTTAGACTTACCTTTAAAAGAATTATCTGCCCATTAATCTCAGAACATACCAAAGGACGCTTGCTGCTAAGTCCCTTCATGGGCTCAGCATCAAAAAGATCCCGTTCCAAGCTCATGGTAAGAAGGCCACCAGAGTTCTAGGTACAAGTTTTTATTACAGTTGAAGAATCCAAACAATATTAGCACTTTTAGTTACCAACATAGTTAGTTACATGCTATTAGATGGATTAGACATCATCAACCCTACTAAAAAAACCAATAAGATAAAGATGTTTAACATTTTATATATTTTTCCATTTCCTGGCTCCTGAACTCCTCCTACCTAAAGTGCAATCATCATACATTTAGTCACTGCTACCATTCTATAACAGATTCTGGAGATGACTAGGATTAACAAGACATGCTTCCATGGAATCCTAATGTTACCTGAAAGACCTCATGCGTTTCCTAAAAATATTAAAATAATAATTAGTAAAAAAAAAAAAAAAAAAGTAGTTGTACAACAGGAATGAGAAAGGTCTAAAAAATATGACTACTATGAAGTAACTCTAACACCTCTGCCTCTGCTTGAAGGGGAGTCCTCCAAAGTGAAAATGGCTTTCAAATATTTTAATTCGACTAGATATTTCTGTTACTTTTTAAAAGGAATAATTTTTTGCACTAAAATATGCTGGTCAACATTTTAAATCAAGCTAAGTTTTATTGCAGTGTAGTTTTAGCAGGAGGAATTGTAGTGTGGTTTTTTAGTTTTCTTTCTAAACAAGGATATGCACGTTTATTTGTTCAAATAACAAGTACATAAACTGAATAACAGATGAATAACAAAATATTCTACAGAACATAGGGCTTCAAATTTTCACAAAAACTGGCAATATAAAACTTATTAAAATTTACATATTTCATTCTATAATCTCTAAAATTATTTGAAATAGCTCTCTAAAGCCTTCCAAAGGCATGCAATATCAAATTAATTTCAACAGAGGAACATGAATAAACTTTTTTTTTTCCTTTTTGTCTTTTTTCGTGTCCGGCAACGGATTGCAACCCTCAGCGTCGCGCCCGTACCGGACCGGGACCGGCAACGGGATCGCAACCCTCGGTGTTGCTCCCACCCCTCTCTCAGCCAGTGAGCGGGAACCGGTCTGTATGTGGGATCCGAACCCTCGGCGGGAGCGCCACCACGCTCCCAAGCGGCGCACTGTAGCAGTACGCCACTGGGCCAGCCCATGAATAAACTTTTAAAAGGCAAATTAATTTCTTTTCTTTTTAGTTTCTCATTTTTATTTTTTATTTATTTATTTATTTCAAATATTCATGAGATACAAAGCTGATTGTCCCCCCTCCTGCTCATGATGTGGGGCCAGATTCATATTGGGGACATATCCATTACCAGAAATTGCTTTTGTACCCTTTGTCCCCTTCCAATTATCCCCCAACCTCCCTCCCCCCCCAAGGAAAATTAACTTCTAAGCAAATCAACAAGTCCACTTAATATAAAGAAATCAAGAACGGAAATTAAATATCTAGGTTTAGTAACATAAATTGCATAAAAAAATCAATAGAACAGAAAACAAACACAAAGGACTTCAAAAAGTGAAAAAATAGAATTGAAATGGAAATCTTTCCATGAACTTTTTTGTGGTTGTTGTTGAAATCTTTCCTTTAAATAAGTAAATAAATAACATAATAGAAAATATGTTCTCTGACCACAATAACAGAAGGAAGTTTAGAAAATTCACAAATGTGTGGAAATTAAAAAACATTCTCCTAAGTAAACAATAGCTAAAAAAGAAAAATCACAAGGAAATTGAACAGTACGTTGAGATAAAAATCAAAACACAACATATCAAAACTTATAGGATGCAGGGCTCATGCAGTGCTTAAAGGAAAATTTATACTTGTAAACACCTATATTAAAAATAAGAAAAACCTCAAACCAGTGATGTAAACTTCTACCTTAAGAAAATAGAAAAAGTAGAGCAAACTAAGCCAAAAGCAAAGATAAGTAGAAAAAAACAAAGATTATAACAGAAATATATGAAATAGGGAATTAAAAAACAATGGAGAAAATCAACAAAAACAAAAGTTGATTCTTTAAAAAGATCAACAAAATTTGCACACCTTTAGCTAAACCAAGAAAAAAAGAGAGAAGAACAAAACTACTAAAATCAGAAATAAAGCAGAGGCTTTATACTACATTGACATTGTGGTTTTTTCTGGTGGTGACATTTAGTTTCTTTCTCTTTCCATTTGCATTTTTGTTCTGGTTTTGGTCTTTCTTGCATATTCGTGGTAGTGATTATCATTTTGTGGATTCCAGATGCAGGACTTCCTTGAGGATTTCTTGTAGGACTGGTTGTGTGGTGAACTCCTGCAGTTTTTGTTTATCTGGAAAATACACTATTTTTCCCCTCATTTGTGAGGGATAGCCTTGCTGGATATAGTATTCTTGGCTGGCAGTTCTTTTCTTTTAGTGTTTTGAATATATCATTCCATCTTCTCCAGGCCTGTAGAGTTTTCTGTTGAGAAGCCTGCTGTTAGTCTGATAGGGGCTCCCGTATAGGTGACTTGACGCTTTTCTTTTAAGATTCTTTAAGATTCTTTAAGAATCTTTAAGATTCTTTTCTAAGAATCTTCTTATAAGATTCTCTCTTTGTTTCTGAGTTTTGCCAGTATGACTTGGTATTTGCTCTGGTATTTGAGAATTACTGTATTCTTTTGGTAGTGTCATATTTTCTTGGATTTTCGTATTTCTAGTAGCTCTACACTGGTCGTCTGGAAGACCAACTGCTTCTATTATTCTGGAGTAGGCTTTGGGGAGAGAGATGTCCTCTTCTTTTTCCAGTCTCCACTCACAATTCTCCTCACGTCAATGCAGTCGAGTGTCCAGTGGGCTACCTGCATGGTGGCTGTGGCTACTGCTGTGGTGTCAAGCAGCTTTTTAGGCAACTGTGGCTATGGTGGTGGCTGTGGTGGGCCACCCTTGTGGAAGTGATGTTTTCGGCATGTTTTCTTGTCTGCTTTTAGGTAGAGGGTACTACGCTTGGCTCCTTGCCTAAGACCCCGGGCATTCTCTCTTGCTTGCTTCTGCATGGAGGGGGCTGCAGACCTCAGCTCCTTGCCGAGGACCCTGAAAAGTAACATCACTACTCCCCTTGATTCTTCTTAAAACTCCCACAAATCAGAAGAACTTAGACTTACCTTTAAAAGAATTATCTGCCCATTAATCTCAGAACATACCAAAGGATGCTTGCTGGGTGTTCTCTCTTTCCTGCTTCCGGATGGAGGGTGTTACAGCCCTCCTAGGTTTTTTTTTTAAAGCATTTTCAGTATATTAAAGTAATCCATAATACATAATCAACCTACAAAGAATCCCTAAGCATACATTACAGTTCAATATCTTAAAGTCATTAAAGGCTTCCGTAGGCCATGATTTAAATCTTTTATAATCTTCCACAATAAAGTAGATTAGCCTATTTTTAAAAATTAAGTTTCAGATCCTATATGGCACTACACATTCACATGCCTATACTACATAATACAGTCTCTAAGCCAGACTTTAATAGATGCAAGGAAAGTCAAGTCTGGAAAAGCTTTACAGTAATTGTTTAATTTAGAGAACTTTAATTTTACATATTTATGAGAATAAACTCACATGTCTACATGATCATCCCTTTTTGTACTATATTTAAGCTATTATCATGGACTTAATGACACTTAAAGAATAAATATCTTATCTAGTCCCTCATCCCCTAGCAGGCAATATAAAACACAGAGCTAATAGATTCTGCCCTGAGAGCCAGTTTACCAACCCTGTTCCATACCACCCCTCTGTCTAATATGCTGATTTCTGAGGCTTTGAATCCTATCTGCCTAGAAAATCATACCCACCTCAACATCTCTAATTAATACCCTAATCAGCTTCTCTAGAACTTTTTCCCACCCTGCTTTAACTTAAAAGAAAATTCCTCATGGTTAGCACTATTATCCTGTTTATATCCTAACTCTTGAAACAGCAGTTAAAATGCTGTTTTATCACTCCAAAAAAACACCCATAACTCAAATAAATGTTATGCAACAAATTCAGTGAGGATGAAGAAAAGAAAACAGAGGAAAACACGCAAAAGAACAGAAAAATAAAAATATGCACTATGCAACTATTAAAGACAGTCTTAAGAAAAAGTCCTTGTAAAACTCAGAAACTATTCTTCAGGAACATTTTTATAGAAAGGATACTACAATTTTAAAACTGATACACAATTTTAACATCATCACTTTTTAACACTCTCTATAGAGTAGTAATTATCAAAGAAAACAAAGCTTACCATGTACTCAAGTAATCCTATTTCAGGATAAATCAGAGGCAGCTCAGGAAACCACTTCTGTGCCAAACTATTCAGCTTCTCCTAAAGTTAAAAAACATATATTTTATTACAGATCAATATATGTTCAATTGCAATATGGTGCTCTTCAGGAAAAAACATATCAGTATCTGTCTTATTACATATCTAATGATATATAATCACTGATTTTGCTTTCTACTTCAAGAAATATCAAATGAAAACTAAGAATCACTTTGGATCTAAATTACCATCCTACTAAGAGATAAAAAACTCAGTAATCAATTTTAAGCTTTGTCTACATATTTAAACACAAAATCTTGCCTAAGGTCAAACACTCTTACAAACTAAAGTGAAAACTGTGAAAAAAACATCAATATTATTTCTCAAAATATTAAGAACACAATGACATTTAAAAATAAAAGCTGTTTCATATAGGAGAGGAAAAAAATCATAAAAGCCTTGAGAGAAAAAATAAATATATAGCTCTACATAAGTCACTTTGAAGCAAACGTGAGAACAGTATCCTTACAAAACAAAAGCCATTTATCACATGTTTATTAAGCAAAACTTCTAAAGATTTGTCAAATCACTGTGGGATGGATATTTTAATCCAAGGTGCATAAGGTATTACAGATAGTCAGGTTTGCTAAATAAAGCATAACACTTAAAATGCCTCTTATTTTCACAGTATTTTTATTTTCAAAGCATTGTTTCTTAACTAATTTCTTCCCATAACATCCTTGGACATAAAATACAATATTCTCTCCATTTTAAAGAGAAAATACACTAACTGATTCTCCCAGGGTAACAAAAATTAGTGGTACAATGGAGACTTAAAGATGTAACTTACCCCCAAAACCAGGTTGTTTAACTTTGTTACATTCTTCAGCTAAATTACACTGCTCCATTAGTGTTTTCATTGTGAAATTACGCTAAATGATGTTCATATAGATTTTACATGAAGAAGAAAATCTTTAGGCTTTATGTTAAACAAAAAAAAACAGTATGCAAAACATTTGTGCTATAATCTCAATTCTAAAAACAAGCAGAAAAAAGACTAAAAGGAAGTCAAAAGTTAACAGTGATTACTACTATTACTACTGAGTGGAAAAATTATATGTGATTTTTTTTCTTCTTTATAATTTTGTGTGATTTCCACATTGGTACAATGATTATGAGTTATTTTGTCATCAAAAATTAATTTCTAAATTCACATAAACATTACTATGTCAATATAACAACACTAGCCTTGTGATTATAGCCCACTTCATAGAATGAATATATGAATTCAATTTCTGGAGGAAATCCTAATTTAAAATTTCAAAGAATCAAATACTTACATATTCCTCCCTCTCATGATAAATTTCCTGAAACACTCTATTGCGTAACTGAGTTATTTCTTGTTTCATTTTCTCAATTTCAGATCCATCACAGTCATCAGACTTTAATCAGAAAGAAAAAAGTGGTTTTACAGGCTTATTAAAGTAGACTGAAAACAAGTCTTCCTATAAGAATTAATATAACTTCTATAGTAAATAGATCTGTATGATTTCTATGTATCCTTCAGTACCTAGCATATATAAACCTTCATAACACTTGTTGAATTAACTCAGATCAGACCTTTCCAAAACCTACAAAAAGGATCTGTAAAATATAAAGACATAAAATAAACTGTGTAGACTTGTCTATTAATTTGCTGTAGATTTTCTTTGTAATAAAAATCAACAACTACCATCATAAAATAAATGTAAAGAACAGCAACCAGATGCTGGGAAAACTGGATATCCACATGCAAAAGACTAAAATCAGACCCTATCTCTCACTGTACACAAAAATCAATTCAAAATCAATTAAAGACCTAAATTTAAGACCCAAAACTATGAAACTACTAGAAGAAAACAGGAGAATGCTACACAAAATGGGAGTGGACAGTGCTTTTTGGAGCAAGACTACAAAGGCACAGACAACTAAAGCAAAAATACATAAAGAGGACTACATCAAGCTAAAAAGCTTCTGTGCAGCAAGGGACACTATCAACAAAGTGAAGCAAATGGGAGGAAATGTTTGTAAACTACATATCTGACAAAGAGCTAATATCCAGAATATATAAGCAACTCAAACAACTCAACAGCAAAAAATAAATAAGGAACTCAAACAATTCAACAATTTAAAAATAGGCAAAGGACCTGAACAGACATTTCTCAAAAGAAGACATACAAATGGCAAACAAGCATGTGAAAAAATTCTCAAAATCACTCATCATCAGGGAAACGTAAATTAAAACCACAATGAGCTATCATCTCACCCCAATTGGAATGGCTATTATAAACAAGACAGAAAATCACACATGAGAGTGAGGATGCACAAAAAAGAGAACATTCCTACACTGTTGGTGGGTGCTGTGGACTGAATTATTTCCCCCAAATTCCATGTATTAGAAACTTCACCCCACCGTGACAGTGTTAAGAGAGTAGGAAATCCTATTATGGTAACTGAAAGGAGGGGCCTTGAAGAGGTGATTAGATTGTGAGGACCACATTCAAGTAAATGGGTTAATAAGTTGATGGTTTAATGGTGGTCACAGACTTGGTTCTGAGGGCTTTAAAAGGAGAGTGCATGAAGAGCTCTTGCTCTCTCTGTGCTTCTGCCATCTGCCATGTGACACCCTCCTGTGCTGTGAAGAGTAACTACCCACAAATGAGGCTCTCACCAGATGTGTTCCTTAGACTTTGGACTTCCCAGCCTCCAAAATTATAAGGAATAAATATTGTTTTTTAATAAATTACCCAGTTTCAGGAATTTCTGTAATAAGCAACAGAAATAGACTAATACAGTGGAAATATAAATTGGTATAGCCACTGTGGAAAACAATACAGAAGTTTCTCAGAGAACTAAAAATATAGATCTACCTTATGACCCAGCAATCCCACTACTGTGCCTACAACCAAAGGAGATTAAATCCATATATCAAAAAGACAACTACACTCCCATGTTCATCACAATGCTATTCACAATAGCAAAGAGATGAAACCAACCTAAATGCCCATCAATGGATGAATGGATTAAAAACTGTGATATATATACACACAATGGAACACTACTTAGCTATAAAAAGAAATTATATCCTATCATTTGCAGCAACATGAATGGAACTGGAAACCATCATGTTAAGTGAAGTCTGGCACAGAAAGATGAAAATCACATGATCTCACCCTTATGTTGAATCTAAAAAAAAAAAAAATTGCTTCTCATAGAAGTAGAGAGTAGAATAACGTTTACCAGAGGCGAGAAGGGGAGGACAGGGAGGAAGAGAAGTGGTGGGCTAACAGGTACAAAGCAGTGCTATCTATCATAAGTGAATCATTGTACAGTATATGTATATATTGAAACAACACACTGTACCTCACAAAAAATATACAAGTAAATGTTAAAAAAATTTTTAAATAAAAAAATAAAGGAATAGTAACCATAATACAATTGAATTCCATGGAATTTTGTTCTACATGAGATTTGGTTAAAAACAATAACAAAAAAGGATGAGTAAATGTGTGAAGTATGTACTAGAGGGAAAAAGGACTCACAAAGACTCCATAAAACTCTAACAATAATAAAGAAGCTACCTTAAAAGGTATTTATGCTTTAAAAGTTAGGCACATTTCTCCAAAAGCTGATAAATTAAACTAAAACAGACCACCTTCCCCACAGTTCAGAATAGGATAAAACTGGAAAACTCTTAAACTATGAAATTAGTTCTAAAATGGTCCCCACCATACCCACTGTTAGGTGCTCAGGAAAGGAAGAGAGATAATTCCAGTTAGATGAAGACATGATATAGGTCTCTTCTGTACACAAATCATATCCTCAAAGGAACACTAAGAATTACCAGCTTATGTACAAATTTTCAAGGCTAAGGAAGGAGGTTAGTTCAAATTCAAGCATCATAATCCCTCCAGCCCTATTATCGTATAAAAACATCCTTAAATACTTGCAAGAAATATTATGTCCAGCAATAAAAAGAGAGTTAACAAAAGACATCATGACCTTAAAGATACTTTATGACAAAATTCTACCTTTGGAGGAGTACCCTATCACCTGCATGTAATAGGTTTGTAGTATAATACATAACAGTTCAAACCAAGAGTTTTAAAAATTATCCTAAAATGTTCATGTTACTAAAAACCAAGGTAGGCATGTCTTTAAATGTCTTTAAAGAACATTTAATGACATGGGAAAATGTTTACAATATTACTGTAATCTCAATTTTATTACATACACAGAGAAAAAACAAAGTATATAAAACAAAATGTGGGCCGGCCCGGTGGCGCACTGGTACAGTGCACCGCTTGGGAAGTGCGGCGGCGCTCCCACCGAGGGTTCGGATCCCACATACAGACCGGTTCCCGCTCACTGGCTGAGCGAGGTGCGGGAGCAACGCCGAGGGTTGCGATCCCGTTGCCGGTCCCGGTCCGGTACGGGCGCAACACTGAGGGTTGCGATCCGTTGCCGGTCACGAAAAAAAGACAAAAAAGGAAAAAAAAAAAGTGTACCCTCCAGACCCAGAAAGCAAGCAGCCTATTCAGGTTTGCCTGAGGCCAGTGACCGCACCTATGTTGGTAGGATGCCTGCACAATACTTATAGCTGTGAAGAGGGGCAGGAGAACCCATTCACCTCTCTCAGGGGAGGCCCCTGCAGCCAGGCACTCAGTGCTGGGAATTCCTGGGGTCACACACAACTGAATTGACCCAGGGAGCAACACATGCAAAAACCGTTCCCAACCCCAAAGACCCTAGGCTACTACGGCAATCGCAAATTTGAGATCAGCCCCAACATTCAGAACATTTCACTCTGGCCCCAGCAGCAGTTCCAGTCCCCTGAGGCCACATCACTGCACTGAGTTGCCTACACCCACATCTGCGCGGTGTCATGCACCCTAAGAATAGCTGGTCAACTCCAGTGAGGGTGCCACCCTCAGGAAGGAGGGGGTCATCATGCACACTGTACAGAGTCGAAAGCTGCCTAATCAGAGCCTCTAGCCAATGCTGGAAATCCTACTTTCTTTGGTGAGGTGCTCTTGCAATTATTACAACCATGAAGAAGTAGTGGAGGACTTATATGCCTCTCTTGGGTACAGACACACATCTGCAGCATCAGTGACCCCACATTGGGCTGCCCACCCCAGCAAGGGGGCTTCAAAGGGATCTGGCATCTGCCTTGGGAGCCACAGGCCCAGCGACTTTATATGGGGCAGCACACCCCAACTGAGGAGATCCAGGGTATCCTAGTAACACTCTTAGCATCACAGGGGCCTGTCCACAACTGCAGTGGCCTTGCTCAGAGAGGCCACTTCACCTAAACAGCTACAAGGTGCCCCAGCATCCCTCTAGGGGGCAAAGGAACCTACCCCAAACTGCTAACACCTTGCCCAGAGTGCCCCACTTCAACAGCAGTACTGCAGACCATGCCAGTGTCCCTCCTGAAAGTACAGGGCCCCACAAACAAATCCAATGACCCCACTCAGTGTCACCCACTTCAATAGCAAAGCTACAGAGTACCCCAACAATCACCCTGGGATACAGAGCTCTGCCCAAAGCCCCAGTGACACCAATGAGTCACCCAGTCTAGCTGAGGAGCTGCTGAGCACCCCACTACCCCCTCAAAGCCTAAGGTCCTAATCCCAACACCCAGAAATCATGCCAAGAATTGTCCATTTATGCTAAGGACCTTCAGATCACTCCAATGCACCTATGAGGGTCACAGGACATACTGCCAGTGAGTTGGCTCAGGGTCACCACCACAGCCATGGAGAACAGGGCATCTAGGTGCTTCCTCCAAGAGCCTGAGATCTTGCCCACAACTTCAATCATCCAACCCAGTGACACTCACTTCAGCAAGGAACTACTGAGTACCCCAATGCCTAGGCCATGCAGGCACACACAGATAATTCTGACGTTGAATATAGTCAAATTTACCACACAGAATCTATACTACTGAGTCAGCCCAGAACCAAAACACCCTACCCAAAGGTCAATATAAAACACACACATCTATAAGAGGAAGTCTCCCTCCTCAACAGCCACTCCTGACTATGAGAAGTAAATGCTCAACAGATGCCCAGTCAACAACGTAAGGATACAAGAAATATGAAAAAAAAATGACACCCCCAAAGGAATACAATAATTCTCAAGTAGACCCCAAACCACAAGAAACCTATGAAATGACTGAAAAGGAATTCCAAGCAACAATCTTAAGGAAACTCAACAAGATAAATACAAGAAAATTCAGATACATGACACATGAAATAAGAAAAACAGTTCAGGATCTGAAGGAGAACTTTATAAAGAGATAGAACACAGCAGAACTCTTGGAACTGAAGGACTCAATTTTCAACAACAAAAAAATACAACTTAGAACTGAAGCAACAGGCTACAGCAAGGAGAAGAA